AACTCCTTGCTCAAATTTTGGAAACCCACCCCTGATCTTCACTGCAGTTCTTCTCCCAGTTGACCTCGGTTGAAAATGGCACAAGTCGATTCAGAAAGGGCTTCCAAATCCCAAAATGAGCTAAATCGAGCAGTTGGCTTAACAGCAGGCAGTAGAGATTCCACAGTTTTGCTGCCAAACGCAACAGATGTGGGTTGAAAGAAAGCAGTCGAAGGCAGGGGGAAAGGAATCTGTCTTTGTCAGCTGACGGTGTGGGGGAATTGCTCCTTGGGCGAAGCAAGAACACGCACACCTGATGGTAGGAGGTGGGCTTCACACAGATAACAACAAAATGACACAACTGCCAAAAAAAAAAAAAAAGGAACAGATGGAAGGAAAGCCTCCTTCTCAAACGAAGAGGATAACCAGCCTCTTCTGTAGGACAAACCAGAGAAGCAAACAAGAGTTTGAATCTGGATTAGGGTTTGTGGTTGAAACCCCAACAGTCATCAGAATTCTTTCATGATTTCATCTAACAAAAATTACTGATCAGAAAAGAACCGAATAACAGAGTTGGAAGGGAGCTTGGAGGTCTTCTAGTCCAACCCCCTGCACAGGCAGGAAATCCTACACCACTTCAGACAAATGGTTGTCCAACCTCTTCTTAAAAACAGTGTTGGAGCATTCACAACTTCTGCAGGCAAGTTGTTCCACTGATGAATTGTTCTGTCAGGAAGTTTCTCCTTAGTTCTAGGTTGCTTCTCTCCTTGATGAGTTTCCACCCGTTGCTTCTTGTCCTGCCCACAGGTGCTTTGGGGAATAAGTTGACCTCCCTTCTTCTTTGTGGCAGCCCCTGATTTCCCTGAAGGAAGGACTCTCTGGAGAAGAGCCTAATGCTGGGAACGATTGAGGGCAAAAGAAGAAGGGGATGACAGAGAACTGGATGGATGTCTGGATGGATGGAGTCACTGAAGCAGTTGGCATGAGCTTCAATGAACCCCAGAGGATGGTAGAGGACAGGAAGGCCTGGAGGAACATTGTCCATGGGGGTTGCGATGGGTCGGACACGACTTCGCAACTAACAACAACAACACACAAAATTGCTGATTGGAAACCTCTTATGCTCTTTAGAAGGCCAGATCCTGAAGATGAAACTCAAATCCTTTGGCCACCTAATGAGAAGGAAGGACTCCCTGGAGAAGAGCCTAATGCTGGGAACGATGGAGGGCAAAAGAAGAAGAAGGGGACGGCAGAGAAGGAGGTGGCTGGATGGAGTCACTGAAGCAGTCGGCGTGAGCTTAAATGGACTCCAGAGGATGGTAGAGGACAGGAAGGCCTGGAGAAACATTGTCCATGGGGGTTGCGATGGGTCAGACACGACTTCGCAACTAACAACAACAGTGATATAAAATTGCAATTTTTTTAAAAGACACCTGCATGTCTTCAATTCCCCTAAAGTTGGGAGAAAATTACCTGCTCGTGCTAAATATTTGAAAAAGAAATTTATATATATAAAAAAAAAAGACAAGCAGAGGATTGTCAGAACAGGGGCCAAATAATGTTGGCAAGAAAGGGCATACGCCGGAAGATGAAAAGCCAAATGCATGATGGGAATATCTCTGAACATTCCCCTGCTCGGATCGAGCGTAACGTTAGCCAACTTGACTTGGAACAGATGGTGGGAGACGCAGCCAAATCTGTAAAGCTCTGATATGCAAAGGAGGGAAGGGGGGACGGGGAGGGAGTGGGACGAGGTATTTCAGATTTTTGAAGACCTTCAGGGAGATTATAGTAGAAACCTTAGGAAAAAAGGATATCCAAGGGTTGGGCTGCTGGGGGTTCGCAGGGGTTCGGGAGAACCTCTAGCTAAGATTCTGTGCAGTTCGGAGAACCCCCCAAATCCCACTCCTGGCTGGCCCCTCCCACCCTGCCCCACCCCTTCAGGAGTCCCCACACGGCCCATTTTGGATGCAGGTAAGTGCAGGAAACGCACAGAGGCTTGGAGAGGGTGAAAAATGGGCCTACTGGAAGTTCAGGGCCCATTTCTGGCCTCCGGAGGGCCTCCGGAGCCTGGGGAGGCCATTTTCACCCTACCGGAGACTGAAGGAAAGCCTCTGGAACCCAGGGAGGACAAAAAGGGCCCCCTCCACCATGGTGCAGGAGGCCGACTAGGCCACGCCCACCATGGCCACGCCCACCCAGTAACCGGGCAGAGAACCCCTTGCTAAAATTTTTGAAGCCCACCCCTGAGGACATCCCTTCTGTTTTTGGAGGGAGGAGAACAGAACAGCAATGGATGAAATAAGACACTCTGGAAACTTTAGTGACTTTAGCTCTCTCCCCAGAGAAGTGTCCCTATTCTAGGATTCAGAAGTAGTGAATAAATTCTTCAGAAAGAGCTGGAAGGCATCTCCAAACATCTAATGAAGCAGGAGATGTAGAAAATAGAACCAACTGGATGAAGAAAGAGAAAAACTCTATGCACGAACAAACCGAAATCCATCTTCTGTCTTCTCTTCAGCCCAGTAACAGGGACTTTTCTGATTTGGGGTCTGTTTTCTTCACTAATCCCAGAGAAAGGATGGTGGTAACTTCTCGTGATTCTCCATCAAAGCCATCTCATCTCAAAAGCTTTAGGGGACCAGCCAGCTGCCTCGAACGTGGGCTCTTAAGCAAGCGAGCCAAGATCCACAAATTCCAGATTTTAGTTGCCAAGAGAGCGAAAAAACATTGATTTTTAGAACATAAAAGGGACAGCTTTCAGGGAATATTTATTTAAATTTATGTTTGTTGTGATGCCTTCAGCAAGAATGCTTCTGAAGCAAAGGGCAAACTGCAAATAACGTAATGTTGAACATTAATCATTAAAAAAAATATTTTTTTTTTACAAGGACAAATCTTTTACATTTCTCCTGGTTTCAGGTAGATGACATTCAACTGTACAATTTTAATTTTTCTTTCTTTATTGTACGTATTAGGTTGTCCATCTCCCTGTTGAAGTGACTCTGTTAAATGACTAATGTTATTCTGGGTAGAAATTGGGTCCTCAATTTACCTACCTTAGAAAGGATGGAAGGCTGAGTCAACCTTGAGCCTGGTGAGATTCGAACTTGCAGTAATTGCAAGCAGCAGTTGTTAATAACAGTGCTTTAGTCCACTGTACTACAGGCTCACAATGTATATTTTGAGCGGCAGACAAAACACCAGCTGTGTTAGTCGTCAGCCCAAAACAGCCAACTTACTTAGCTTCAAATCCAATAATTCAGGGCTGTGTCAGTTGGATGTGAGAACATCGTTGGATCCTTCCAAATAAGCAGAATGATATCAGCGAAGCTCAATTTGTTTGAAGCCATTGTTTTGGGCGAAGATTGAAATTTACTCCCAGGGCCACGTATCTCCATTGTTAACGCTGCCCGTGCTGGATTAACCAATTCTCCTGTATTTTTTTTCCTCAATGTTTTCCATTCAATTAGATGGGAAAACCTATCTAGTGACAGTCAGTTCGATCTAGCAGTTAAGAAACCAGACTAGAAGCCAGGCGACTGTGATTTCTAGTCCTGCCTTGGGCACGAAGGCCACCTGGGTGACTTTGGGCCAATCAACAGGAAAATATGAGTTCTAGTCCAGCCTTAAGCATGAAAGCCATCTGGGTGACTTTGGGCCAGTGACCAGGAGACGGTGAGTTCTAGTCCAACCTTAAGCATGGAAGCCAGCTGGGTGACTTTAGACCAGTGACCAGGAGACAATGAGTTCTAGTCCAACCTTAGGCATGAAAGCCAGATGGGTGACTTTGGGCCAGTGACCAGGAGACGACGAGTTCTAGTCCAGCCTTAGGCACGAAAGCCAGATAGGTGACTTAAGACCAGTCACTCCCCTACTCCAGCCCACCTCAAAGGGTAGTTGTTGTGGGTGGGAAAGTAGGACGAAGGTGCGTTGGATATATTTGCCACCTTATTTGTAAAAAACAATCAAGATGGAATACAAATGAATAAACATGGTTCAGACTGTACCTTCAGCTGATGGGATAGAGAAAGGGGGTCAGAGGGGAGGAATCCTAATTTATTGTGGTCGATATATTACAAGAATATTGAAACCGTCCCAAATTTCTTTCTATCCGAATCCATACTAAACAAAATCAAGGGAAGGATTCTTTGAGGTTCTTTCTCACCCTTCCTTGTCAACCAACATGTAATCTCTTCTCTTCAAACCCCTCCTGTTCGCTCCTTTCTCCGTTTCATTCTTCAAGTCGAATTCCAAATTCCTTCACGTCCCTTAATTTTCTTCCCATCTCTAACGGGCCAAAAATCTGCCATGTTTCTTTGTCATTTCCATGTTTCTTCTTTTCAAGGTATTGCTTTTGAAATCTTACAGAACTTGGTAGTTTAAGAATATGTTTGAAACCACTGCCCTCTGCAGTTACAACAAGGGTACTGCAGGAGCTCTCCAAGGTAGAAAAATTCTACTTCCAATTAAAATTGTGTCCAGCTCCGATTAAGAGGAAACTAGGTAATTGCTTGATAGCAGATCAGATTTCTTGCCCAGAAATCAAGGCTGCTGGAAAAGACATCTGCAATTTTGACATGTTAAAATAATCTTTTAATAATAAAAATCTTTCTGAGCACTTCCTTTTGAGAGCCATTAGAATTGGTGAGTGTTCACCTTCCTTCCCTTAGAACAGGGGTCAGCAACCTGCGGCTCTGGAGCCGCATGTGGCTCTTTCATCCCTCTGCTGAGGCTCCCTGTCACTGGTCAGCTCCACAATTGATAGGGCTTTCAGTTAGGAGAGGTAAGGGAAAAAAGACGCCGCGCTAGGAGGAGACTCTATGGTAGGGGAACTGGACTTCCGGTCTTCGGAGGAAAAAGGACGCCCCACTAGGAGTTGCCTCTATGGTGGAGGGAATCAGACTTCCGGTTGGCTCCAGAATTGAATGGGGGGCTTCCGGTTAGGACCTTGGTGGCTCTTTTGAGTGTTTAAGGATGCTGACCCCTGCCTTAGAATAAACACACACAAAAGTTGAAGATTGATTTCTCTCAACAAAACACAATTTATTTGGCATCTAGATGGAATGTCTCTCACAGCATCTTGGAAAAAAAATAAAATAAAGATTAGTGTCCCAAAAAAAACCCCTACCCTTCTCCACCCTTTCCCTGAAATAAAAACCTTTTTTTTAAAAAAAAAATCAAAATATTAGAACATAAAAATGTCACAGGGACCAACTTATTACAGTATCAAATTTCATTTCTGCATACCGTTCCATGAAATATAAAAATCTTAATTTTTTCCCCCCCCTCTTTTATTTTATTTTTTTTGTACACACACATGCCACGGTTCAATTCAGCCACAAACTGACACCACGAGACTGGCAAATTCAGCCGAAAATGTCTTTCCAAAGAAAATTTAAAAGCAGTGATTCACTTGATTGGCACACTGGCTCACACATGCACACCTATCGTCCTTTCTCAAGCGTACAGAAAGTCGGGGCATCCCCCTTTGCATGATGTAGCTAGAAAAGAGCTGGGCACACCCGAATGGGCCTGGAGTTCCAAATTTGTAGAACTTTGTGTTTGTTTGACCCCCAATGGTTGACTTCAGGTTTTCCCAATTCTATCTTTCCTGCTAAGGCCTTGAAGCAAGAAGGGATTTTTGGTTTCAATAAGCTATTTGATTTTTTGGGGAGGGGGGAGGAATAAAAATAATGAAAGGTGGAAGGATTGAGTGGGCAAACAGTGGTTTCTCACCAAATAGTACCGATTTAGTTCACTTCCACTAAAGCTTGGAAGTTGGACAATCCATCCATCTTCTTCTACAGCTGTTCCAGCCTGGCTAAAATGAAATTTAGCCCACTTCTCCTGATACTTAGAAGTTGGACAATCCATCCACCTTCTTCTACAGCTGTACCAGCCTGGTTGAAATGAAATTTAGCCCACTTCTCCTGATACTTAGAAGTTGGACAATCCATCCACCTTCTTCTACAGCTGTACCAGCCTGGTTGAAATGAAATTTAGTCCACTTCTTCTGATACTTAGCAGTTGGGACAATCCATCCACCTTCTTCTACAGCTGTACCAGCCTGCTTAAAATGAAATTTAGTCCACTTCTCCTGATACTTAGAAGTTGGACAATCCATCCACCTTCTTCTCCACCTGTACCAGCCTGGTTGAAATGAAATTTAGTTCACTTCTCCTGATACTTAGCAGTTGGGACAATCCATCCACCTTCTTCTACAGCTGTACCAGCCTGGTTGAAATAAAATTTAGTCCATTTCTCTTGAGATTTAGAAGTTGGACAATCCATCCTACTTCTTTCTCCCCATTACCAGCCTGGTTGAAATGAATGGTGGACTTTTAACCACAGGTCTCCAAGTTCCATACCGTAATTAGGACATCTGACCCATTTGAGGGTGCAAACAAACAAAGACTTGGATTCTAGGCAACAATGCTTTTCAAAAAAATGCGTTCAGGCCATACAACCAGGTTTTACTGAGTGGGGAGTCTTGACTTCTATAAACTGCTACGTGCCCTAACTTAAAAACAGCACAAAGCATGAAACTCAAAATCACACCCAGCGAGAAACGTCTCCTCTAGGAAGCTGACATCAAATACCAAAGGGCATTTTGTCAAATGGAGTTTATTGAGATGGAAAAGGAGCTTTTAAAATTTGCTTTAGGGTAAGAAATGGCAAGCTATGGCCCACGAGTGAGCTTCAGCCAATGGACTGAGAGTGGTGTGAACCATACCCCAATACTTCCCGTGGGAGGGTGCAGTAAGCATTTAAAAAGTTTTATTCCCACGTGGCAACCTTAAAGGAGCTGTTGACGCTCACACTGAAGTGGTGAGGAACTGACAAGGCTAGGTCTTATTTTGGGGGAAATAACGGTACTAAATGCATCCTTAACTGGGGCTTATTTTGGGGGGTAGGGCTTATATTACGAGCATCCTGAAAAATCATGTTAGGACTTATTTTCCGGTTGGGTCTTATTTTCGGGAAAGGTTTGCCTTTCCCAAGATAAGGAGAATCCAAGACCTCGGTGCCTTCCGCCGTGCCCTTAAAACTTTCTTTTTTCAGCAAGGCAGGCTGGCTTAACATATTTTTAAATATTTTTAATTGGTTTGTCATTTTAAACTGGGGCCAAATTAATATATATTCTTTTAATTGTTTTTAATGTTTGTATTGTACGTTTTTATCTGGCTGTACACCGCCCTGAGTCCCTCGGGAGAAGGCGCGGTATATAAATTTGAAATAAAAATAAAAATAAAAATAAAATTTCAAAATGTAACAGTACCCCTAGTTCTGTATTTCTCCTTCTAAATTCGTCTTCTCTTTACATGGACGGGAAGCTTGGCCATCAGCTTCCAATCCCGTGTCGCTGTTATACTTTGCTCAAGATCATAACACCAGCGTTTCTCCATCTTGGCAACTTTTAAGAGGGGGAGGACTTCAACTCCCAGAATTCCCCAGCCTAGGGAATTCTGGGAGTCAGTCCTCTCCCGGTTGCCGAGGTTGAAAAACATTCGTCGTAAACACTCAATCACCCAAGCCCATTCACACTTACATATATAAAACCAAAGGAAGAAGTCCGTACCTACAATGTATAAAACTGATGAGTGTGCTAAAAACGCACATAACCCGCTTTTTATTTCTTTTTTTATTATTATTATTATTATTTTTCCCATACTTCAGAAACGTTCAGTACCTGCCCTGGATCCCCAATTCTGACCTCAGACTTTGGGAAGGAGAGAGGGAACGCTGCTTGGTTACCAGGCTGAGACAGCCAGGAGGAAGGAAAGAAAGTACCGTCTTTTTCGGAGTATAAGACGCACCGGAGTATAAGACGCACCTACCTTTTTTGGTGAGGAAAAGAAGAAAAAGACATCTGCCTCTGCCTCCCAGCAATTTTGCCTCTTTGCAGCAAACAGCCTGCTTTACTTTCATTTTCGTTTTCAGCATAGCTTGATTAGCACAAGGGGGAAAAAAAATCTGCTCCAGCAATTTATCTCCTTGCAGCAAGCAGCAGAGCCCTGCGCAAAACAGCTGAAAGCAAATCAGCTGAGAGTCGGGAGGCCGATCCAATCAACCTCTGCTAATTAGGCTGTGCTGAAGCTGAAAGGAGCTGTTTTTTCTTGCTGTTTGCTTGCAAGGAGGTAAACTGCTGGGAGGCAGAGGCCAAAGGGTGGGGGCCAGTGGGTGGGTGGGGCTACATTCGGTGTGTAAGACGCACCTAAATTTTCACCCCCTTTTAGGGGGGGGAAGGTTGCGTCTTATACTCCGAAAAATACGGTAATGAGTGGGAAAATCCACGATTGCTTTTCCTCCAGTGTCCCGTGGCCATTTCCACACTCCTCCAAAGAGAGATCAAAGTTTCTGTCTGTCTCCCTCTAGGCAAAATCGTTGTTTGTCTCTCAAGACGTTGCTTCATGCCTCCGAGGTTGGTGAGAAGGCCCTTTTTTTTTTTTTTGAAACCAGATTTCCGAATTTCGTGGGGCAAGATCTAAGAGGTCACTGAAGCAGAATTGTGGATTTCTACCTCGGCTTCCAAGGGGAAAGCATTGTCTAGATGCAACAGCCTGGCGGCGCGATTGTGGTACCGTAAAATGAGACACGAATGGATCCGTGATTGCTTGCAAGCAGGTTATCACCAATCGACGTTAAGTACAACTTGGGTTTCTTTTCTGCTGAGCCGCTTCAGGGTCTCTGAAGTCTACACCGATGGGAGACCCACCTTTCAGGCTGGAGTCTTCCCAAGCGATCCCTGGACATGTGGAAGATTAAATCTGCGGTCTTCTGCAAGGACAACCCTGGAGTGTTATTGGCCGAGCTAGAACTCTCTTTCCTAGAACGGCCCAAAACCTAACCTACCATCAATATTACACTGGGGGTAGATAAGAAATGCAGAAGAAGAATGAGAAAGGAAAAAAAAAGGGTTGAAATGAGAAGGCACCCTGTTACATTGAAGTACTGAACCATGGATTGTGTTTCTCCTGTCCTTCTAGGCCTCCTGCCTTTCATAAGGCAACAGGAACACACAAATGAAGGACTGGAAGTATGAAGTTTCTCTTAATTAAACCTGGGCATGCTTACTCAGGAGGCAAGAGGGCAGCGATGGATCGAGATCGGCTTGGCTATAAGTTGCAATCAACTCAACGTTTTACAAGTTCTCGCCAAGATCTCTCGGTGGGAAGGGTGAGAGGAAGCACTAGGGGAAGAGATCCCTGTACCTTCCAGATGTCCTTCTGAAGAGATTCAAGCTGGACTACTACTGATCACCCATCTCCAAACAGGTCTAAATTCCAAACTCCAAATACATCAAGAGGTTAGGTTTGTGACGTCACCGATTTTTTACGATCTGTACGATTTTTTTTTTCCTCCTAACCCCAAATTATTTCCCTTGCTTGTCTCCTGTTATAAGGCGTTCGAATGAATCCTGCAAGGATAAAGAAAGCTCGGAATCTTAAACTATTGAGAACGAAAAGCAAAACGAACAGAGATAAAAGAGAAAAATTAAAGGCGGACTGATTGGTCCAATCACAATTTTGTTTTTCCCCACTTGGAAATTCTATTATCCCCACACCAACTCAGTCCCCCCAAAAAAACTCAATACCCCAAATTTATAACAAGAGAAAAAGTCAGGAGGGGAATGCCATATACAAGTCACTGAGTTGAAATGGTCCAGTCGAGTATTAAAACAGGTTACGGCGAAGCGACCGGATCGAGATTTGAACCTTACGTGCTTCCTTCCAGGACGCGAACAAGTGTTTGGCCAACTCGTGTAGTTCTTCTTTGCAACCAAGACTGGAAGCCATGTGAAGATGATGACTTTATGGAACCCATTGCCTGTCTCTTTCTCCTTGGGTTCGTATTTCAAACCATGATGGTCCTGTGCGCCGTTCAGAAATACCCAACAACCCAACATCGAGTCTTCTGGACTTGAAGATTAACCAAAGACTGATAAAGCAGGAGAACCAACAACTGCACTCTGTTCCTGGAAGATCCCTAAACGCCCTGGCATTCCAGAAGTTACACCGCCTGGTGTTTCATCTCCATGATTTTACGATCCGCTTCCTCCCTCACCCCAAAAAAAATCTATCCATAATTTTCCTCCGCTTTAAAAAAAGAAAGAAAGAAAGAAAGAAATTAAAAACTGGACATCTTCTGCTCTTTTTTTCCATTTGCCAGTAGAAAAACAAACAAAGTGTCTTTAACAACTTGGTTTTTCTTCTGAAGAGGGTCAGGTTAAGAATGGGACATGACTGCCCAGGCCAAGTCTAAACTCAAAAGGAGAATCTGAAAAAGGCCAGACACGGGAGTTTTTCTTTATTTCCGAACTTCAGTCCATGGATTCAGCATTTCCCCCATCGTACATCGGGCCGGCCAAGCAGCTGCCCAACATTTATTGCTGACTGGCAGTTAATGGGGGGTAGGGGGGGCATGTCTCTCGTTTTGATTGTGTTTCCTTTTTTTTTTATACAATGGTATTTAGAGAACAGTGGCTGTGGTGGTTGCCAGCCAGGCTCTCTGAGAGAGTATTTTCACTTAAAGGAGTGTCTGGTAGGACAAGGAGGGTGCTGCTGTCAGCAGAGTTTTCAAGGTCCATCGGAGACGGGCCCACGGAAGGAGGAAGAGAGTCGTTGGGGAGCGGCGGAGATGTGTCGGCACTTCCTAAGGACAGCGGAGCGTTAGGGCCTGTCTGAGAATGGACCCCATCTAAGGAAGGGAAAATACAGGACAGCGTCAAGGCCCAAATCAATGCATTCCTGGAGGTCCTTAGCTACTTCCAGATCATTACTGCTTACTTTTTTGCAGGTTGGGATCCTGTGTGAGTGAGCCCCAGATACAGGAGTGGCCAAAATTGTGGGAACCTTTTGGAGAAAGTGTATTTTCTAAAACTGGCTAATAACACCACTTTTTTGTGGGGGGGGGGGGGAGTAGTAGCAGGAGTGAAATGTTCCCGGTTCGGACCGGATCACCCGATCCGGTAGTGATGGATTAGGGTTAGGGTTAGGGTTCAGATCTGGCGGGTGGTTCGGAGAACTGGTAGCAAAAATCCCTGCCCCCGCCCCATGCCCAGCTGAATTATGCTAGATGGGAATAAGGGGAGGAGGAGGACGAGGAAGATTATGGGGTCCTTGGTTGACTTCTTGCATATGTTTCATCTGTCTTGCAGATGTTTCATGACCCAAGTAGGTAACATCAGTGCTAGGTGGGAGTACTGGAGGGGAGGAGGAGGAGGAGGAAGATTATGGGGTTCTTGGTGTCTCTGAGCTTGTTTCTTGAAGACATTTTATTACCCAACTAGGTAACATCATCAGTGCTAGATGGGAGTTGTGTTTGGTCTCTGTTTATATATCTCACCAACATTGACAGGACAAGCCACGAGAATATAATCGGAGACCAAACCTCACTCCTTACACAAAGAACCCCAGAGTCCAGTTCTACTCTCTTCCTTTTCCTCTTCCTCCTCCCCTTTCCTTTTCCTTCACTCCGCCAACCCCACTCCCTTCTAGCACAGAGGGAAGTTAGCTAGTTGGGTAAGGAAGCATTTGCAAGAAAACAACCAAGCTCAGTCAGCACCAAAGACTTCACGTAATTCTTTACTGAATGGGAAACGCTGAAACCAGAAGTCAACAAGATGGTTTTGGGCGAGATTTCGGAGCAAGTAACGATACCTGGATGAGAACAAAGAATGTTGTCCGGGTTGATGGAAGCTTCGTAAGGCGGCGGAGGGTCATCCGGATGTTGGATGTCCGGGTATTTGTACGCTGTGTAGGGAGGAGGCGGGTCGTGGAAATGAAAGGCTCCGCCTTCTCCGTCGTCGGAAAGATGCAGCGGTGTGAGTCCCGTTCCAAAGCCGTCTGGACCGTAATCGAAACCGGGCATCCTTCGGCCCAGGTTAAAATGATGCACTGTAAAAGAGGGATGCAGGGACATAAAAAGACACGTGGGCATCATCGTTACAATTTCATCGTTTCGTTCCTTCTGCAAAGGAGAATCCAGTTCAGAGTAGAACTGTGAAGCTTTCGCTCTTTAGGTTTAAAACTTAGTTATACCGTATTTTCCGGACAGAGCTGGAAATTAATTAATTATTATTTATTTATTTATTTATTTATTTATTTATTTATTTATTTATTTATTTATTATTTATTTATTTATTTATTTATTTATTTATTTATTTTGCCGCCTCCTCTCCCGAAGGACTCGGGGCGGTGAACAGCCAAAATCAAGAAACATCCAATACAAACATTAAAATGCATTTAAAACAAAATTAAATCCAATGGCTTCCCCCAATTTAAAAACCCCTTACCCATAAAATTCACCAATAAAAATTCTAAGATAGCCCGGCTTGCCGAAATCAAAACATTTTCAGAGCCCGGCAAAAGGTTCGGAGGTCTGGGATCAGTCGTATCCTTGGGGGTAGCTCATTCCAGAGGGCGGGTGCCCCCACAGAGAAGGCTCTTCCCCGGGGGGGGGGAGGGGGTCGCCAGTCGACATTGCCTGACCGACGGCACCCTGAGGAGACCCTCTCAGGTAAGATGGCAAGTGGAGTCCCGTCATGCTCCAAATGCCCCAAAATAATAAGACATCCCCGAAAATAAGGCCAAGCGCTTATAAATATAAGACAGGGTCTTATTTTCGGGGAAACACGGTAGTATTTAGTGCAATATAAAAAAATGTTAAGTAATTTTTCTGCAGACCACCAACATTTTCTCACCAACCATCAGTGGTCCGTGGACCACCAGTTGGTGATCACTGTCACATCCCACCTCCTTGCACCTGATGGGAAAATCCTTGGTTCTCAGAGGAAAGAATTTTACTTTGGCTACAATCCTCAGCTATCTCTACCTCCCCTCTCCCGTTCCCACAGCTTGACTCATCTCCGAGTCAGCCGCGAAGGTGCCAGGGGAAAATTGACTTCATGGCTGACACTTCGCTTGTTTACGGGGCCCGGTTTCTGGCATGCCGCAGACCGGTGCCAATCCATGGACCGGGAACTGGGGACCCGTGTCCGGCAACACTTGCTGGAAAGGGGAGTTTCCGGCTGCAAGCATCCTCATCCCCAACTTTTGAAAAGACCCTCCGAGGCAAGTCATGGAAAGTCCGAAATTGTTTAGTCGCCCAAACTTTTTCCCGTGCGTCCTTCAGAAAAGGTGAACCCGCACAAACTTACGGTTGGCTCCGATCAGAGACTCGATGCGCTCCCGGCGTCTCTGTCGCAGCCGGTGGACCATGAAGAGCAGGAGGGACAAAATGAGGAAAGAAGAGACGCAGCTGACGATGAGACGCATGCCGCTGGCCATGGAATCGAACAGACTGTTGCCGTCTGCAAGAGGGAAAAGAGAACGGGGGTCATCACCCCTGTGATGGGAGGACTAAAACCTCTCGGGTTTCATCCTTGTGAACCAATGGGAGAGGGAAGGTGTGTTTTTACGAAGATGGTTATGATACCAATAGCAAAAGCACTTAGATTTATATATCACTCCACAGTGCTTTACAGTCCTCTCTGAGCGATTTACAGGGTCAGCCTATTGCACCAGCAATCTGGGTCCTCATTTACCTGACCTTGAAAGGATGGAAGGCTGAATTAAGTTTGAGCCAGTCAGCATCAAACTTCTGGCAGTGGGCAGAGTTAGCTTGCAATACTGCATTCTAACCACTGTGCACATGGGTGGGTGGGTGGAAGGAAGGAAGGAATACATATACATATACATATACATATACATATACATATACATATACATATACATATACATATACATATACATATACTTGTTTTATGTCTTATTTACCGTATTTTCTGGAGTATAAGACGCACCTTTTCCCCCCCCTAAAAGGGGATGAAAATTTAGGTGCGTCTTATACACCGAATGTAGCCCCGTCCATCCACTGGCCCCCACCCTTTGGCCTCTGCCTCCCAGCAGTTTACCTCCTTGCAAGCAAACAGCAAGAAAAAACAGCTCCTTTCAGCTTCAGCACAATCTAATTAGCCTCCCGACTCTCAGCTGATTTGCTCTCAGCTGTTTTGTGTGGGCCTCTGCTACTTGCTGCAAGGAGGTAAATTGCTGGGAGCAGATTTTTTTTTTTCTTGTGCTAATCAAGCTATGCCGAAAACGAAAATGAAAGTAAAGCAGGCTGTTTGCTGTTTGCTGCAACCAGGCAAAATTGCTCAGAGGCAGAGACAGATTTCTTTTTCTTCTTTTCCTCATCAAAAAAGGTAGGTGCGTCTTATACTCCGGTGCGTCTTATACTCCGAAAAATACGGTATTTTAGTTTTTTAAAAATCAGTAACGCTTTGCATTTTACCCCTCCTACACTGCTCTATGACTGCAATAAAGATTGGATTTGAGAGAAGCTGGACCTACCAGGATCCGAACAGGTAAACTTGCAGCATTCCTTGGGGTCCTTCAGGTAATGCTGACAGCCCTGCGGACGCTCGCACAACGCCGCCACGCACATCTCCGGCTCACCGTTGTGACATGTGCAACTTAAGCAAGGGTCGTCCCCTTTAGGTGTGAAATTGTAGCCTTCGTCAACAATGTTGTCTTTGATATCCACGCAAGTCTGACCTGGAACAGGGGGAGACGGGAGGGGGAAAAAAAGCCATCTCTATTTTGGCCCATTCTCTTCAGGTGTGTTTGATCCAGTGGGTTTATCAAAAGGGGGGAGGGAGAGAAACTAACTTACTTCTCTTGCAAAGAAAGGACGATTTTTCGTAGCAGTTCTCGGCGTACCAGCTGTGAAAACCGTGGTGCCGGAGAATTGGAAAATGGGAGCACTGAAATTGGGCGCAGAGGATGTTTTCGTTTTCAGAGAGGGATGTGCTAAATGTAGGATTCGGGGGCAGAAATACTTCCGACGAGCCTGAAACGACAAAAACGGAGGAAGATGAGGATTGGGTCACGCTGTGCGGTGCCGTCCGTCCGCGTCAACCCGCGCGCTGGGAAAAAAAAACACTTAAAAGCTCAACAGATCGATCCGCGCTGCCTTTGATTCGGCGTCTCACTTTCCTCATTGTGGTGGAAGGAGCGCTTAGAATCACAGGAAAAGAGGGGGGGTCTTTTGAAAGGAATGAAGAAGCAACGCAGCCTGGAATCTCTGGTATACAGGAAGAGAGCCAGGGTGGATCTCTCCCTAACTTTGCATGGGATAGTTAGGCAGATTTGGGCTTTAATCGGGCAAGATTCCTGTCTGCAGGCGAGGAACAAGAAAGAAAGAAGCAATTCCTGTTGTTATTTTTGGCTCGTTGAGCTTGACACTTATTGATGCAAAACAGAAGAGAGTATTTGTAGCTCAGGGTTGAAATGAAGGGTCCCTTGGTGCTCTCTGAACTTGGTGGTTTTCTTGCAGGCGTTGCATGATCCAACCAGGTAACATTATTACATTATTGCTTAACGCATTGTAAGCCGCCCTGAGTCTCCAGAGAAGGACGGCATATAAATCGAACCAATAAATAAATAAATAAATTATCAGTGCTGGAGAGAGTGGGATTTGTAGTGGTGATAGAGGAGGAGGGGGGAGGGGGAAGGGGAGGAGGAGGAGGCTATGGGGTCCTTGGTGCTCTCTGAGCTGGGTGGTTTTCTTGTAGACGTTTCATGATCCAACTAGGTAACATTATCAGTGGGGTTTGAGGTGATGATAGAGGAGGAAGAAGAGAAGGAGGAAGGAGGCGGCTATGGGGTCCTTGGTGCTCTCTGAGCTGGGTGGTTTTCTTGGAGACGTTTCATGATCCAACTAGGTAACATTATCAGTGCTAGAGAGAGAGAGGAGTTGGAGGAGGTGGGAGGGGAGGAAGGAGGAGGAGGAGGAGGAGGGGAGGGGGAGGAGGCGGCGGCTATGGGGTCCTTGGTGCTCTTTGAGCTGGGTGGTTTTCTTGCAGACATGACCCAACTTGTTCTGTCCCCCTTCCTCACACAGGCAATCGTAATACCAAGCACGCCTGCCAGTATTTTATTAGGTAAACAGATTAGAATTCTTGGCAGACCAAGGTTTTGGCAGCAAACTGCCGAATGCCTGCCAAGACCGTTTTCACTCCCATAAAGCGGAAGAGGACTTATCTTCAGTCCGTTCCAGGAGCAACAAATTATCCACGAGACAAGAGTTTAGTCAATGTCCAGTCCAAAATATATCCAAGCCGAATTTCAGAGATCACAATGTGACTTTCAGGGTTTAACTTTGTCCATCACAAAGCCTGAAGAACAATCACACCCATTTTTATTCCTGGTGGGGTGTGGCTCTGTGACTCAGCTCAATCTCTGGCCCTCCCACGCCTCTTCCGTTGCTGCGCACGCTTCTCCCTCCGACGCTGCCTGGGATCAAGCCAGGATTCAACATCCTCGCTCCCTATCAATGGGTGCTCCGATATGCCTTCCTCCTGGCACATCCCAGGCTGTTCCTCCTGGCCTTCGGATGGAACCTGAGGCATTGCCAGAGAGGAGGGTCCTGGAGAGGGAGGCCTTGTCAGTTCCTCCCCATCACCTTCTGAGTCCTCTTCCTCTGTTAGGACAGGCTTGGGAGTCAGGATCACAACACAACTAGGGAGCATCATCAGTATTAGAAGGGAGTTATAAGCAGAGAGCAAACCCTCCTCCCTTCCAGCACGGATGATGTTACCTAGCTGGGTCATGAAATGTCTTCAAGAAAGCAATGAATGTCAGAAAGCACCAAGGATGAAGACCAAGTCCTCCTCCTCCTCCTCTTCCGCACATCCGACTCCCAGCATTGAAGATGCTATCTAGCTGGGTAATGAAACATCTGCAACCAAGCTCAAAGAGCACCAAGGAGTCCACTCATTGATACATTAGCTAGCTGGCATTTGGTTTTTGTATTAGGAAGCCTGGCGTTTCTCCTAGTGGGCAAAATATTCTTATTCATACTTCTTTAGCGTACACATTTTTGTAACTCACTTCCCCTAAGGGGGGGGGGTGTTTCCTGGAAATTCTGGGTGTGCCTTCCGGTCCCTCTGGAAGTTGGCATGAAGGTATTTAATATTTTATGTATCAGAAGTAGGAAGCTATTCAATATACGAGGAGACATAAAAGTGCATTCAAGCTGCATGAAAAAGGTTCTGGTTTTAGTTTAAGAAGCCCAAAGATTCCGATTTTGAGACTTGCCTTTATAAGCGACTTCCCAGTGGCCTTCGAGAGAATTGTTTCGGTTGGTGATGACGAACTGATATCCAACCCAAAACCTTCCATTGGAAATTTAAGAGAAAAAAAAGACAAGTTGTAACACTTCAGCGAGGATAAGACTGCATTGGAGAAAGTTAATGCAAATTTTTTTAAAAAAAATATGCCACGAGAAACGGGTTCAAATTCTGCACCGAGGGTTCATTGTTATATCCAAACTCTCTTCCGGTATAACTGAGGGCATAAAATATCTTTGACGCACCGTTCAATCCTAAAAACCTAAGGGTGAGGTGGGCAAAATTAAACCTGTTCAAGGTTTGTGTCGAACCTACCACAACTTAAGCCTCTAAATAGAAACAATCTTTGGCTCCATTTCTTGAGAAAGGTATTCTTTATATATACCGTATTTTTCGGAGTATAAGACGCACCTTTTTCCCCCCTAAAAGGGGGTGAAAATTTAAGTGCGTCTTATACACCGAATGTAGCCCACCCACCCACTGGCCCCCACCCTTTGGCCTCTGCCTCCCAGCAATTTACCTCCTTGCAGCAAGCAGCAAGAAGAAACAGCTCGTTTCAGCTTCAGCACAGCCTATTTAGCACAAGTTGATTGGATCGGCCACCCGACTCTCAGCTGTTTTGCTCTGAGCTGTTTTGCGTGGGCCTCTGTTGCTTGCTGGAAGGAGGTAAATTGCTGGGAGCAGATTTTTTTTTTCTTGTGCTAATCAAGGTATGCTGAAAACGAAAATGAAAGTAAAGCAGGCTGTTTGCTGCAACGAGGCAAAATTGCTGGGAGGCAGAGGCAGATTTCTTTTTCTTCTTTTCCTCACCAAAAAAGGTAGATGTGTCTTATAGTTCGGAGCATCTTATACTCCAAAAAATACGGTATATAAAGGATTATACGCAAGGTGGAGTATATACCTTAAAAACTTCAATTATAAACAAAATGTATAATGTTATAATAACGATGTGAGTAGGATTACTGCAATTAATAATACCAATACTATCCCTACTATTTGATATCAAAATTAACGATACCCAGAGAAAGGCATTGTTAGAGATCAAATGTTCTGCGGTATTGCAAAGCCAGAACGGAGAATCGCCCGCCAAAATTCCCAAATTCTACTTTTCTCTCCCTAAACTATCTCTCATTGCCCACCCTAATGTAACCAATCAGGTTCATGCAAGATGTTTTCATAACAGTCAGTCCAAGCGCAGTTCGTTAGGCGGCCCCCTCTTTCCAGCTGGCTGTCCTTGAGGCAGCATCTCAAGGAGATACAGCATTTACTTTCGCTTCCTCCTCCCCACAGTTCATGGCCGTCTATCACCACATAGCAGCAAAGCACAAGCAAACATAAGGTGGTAGATGACTGTTTGATGTTGACAAATAGGATGCCGGTGATGACAACAGCAGCTCCAGAAGCGAAACTCAATGTCTCCAATGGAACCCTGGAGTTCCTCTCCAAGGAATGAGACATGTCCATCCCAAGTCCAAAATAAGAAGTGGGGTGTTTTCCCCCCCCAAAAAATAAAATGCTGATGTTCTGGGCGCACTCACCGGCGTTGATCTTTCCGGCCAAAGGTCTTCTCCTCAGAGTCCCACTCTTGCTGCAGAATGAACTTCAGCTCCTGGTCGGTGGTAAAGGTAGCCAAGGAAGCATTCACCTTCTGGCAGGTTTGTACAGCGTCCCAGTAGTTCTCTCCGTTTAGGTACACCCGGTAGCAACTGGCAGTGCCCTCGTAGTGGTGCCACCCTGATGGGCATTTCCCTAGGAAACATGAAAGAGAGAAGGGAAAACAATTCCCCACCCAGTTAGGACCTCAACACACAGAGAGAGAGAGACACACACACAAAAAGCATGTTTTTAGTCATGTTGTTAAAGACATCAGGCTGGTATTTCTCAACCATGGCAACTTTAAGATGGGTGGATTTCAACTGGCTGGGGGAATTCTGGGAGTTGAAGTCCAACCATCTTAAAACTGCCAAGGTCGAGAAACACTGCATTAGCCTTAGTTCAAATCTAGCAAAGAAGAGATTTGGGGGGGGAAAGCTCTTCCTGTTGTGGTACGCCAGCAGCCTGCAGAGCTGGCAGCGGAGTCGGACAACGATGAGGCTGAGGAAGAACATGGGCCAGTCCTGGAGGCTGGGGAAGGCCCGGATGAGGGCTCTGCGTCGGAGGCAGAGATGGGGCCAGGGCCATCAGGGAGTGATGTGCGGACTCCGGAGCCTCCAGAGGCTGACAGTAGAGAGGCAGAGGAACAAGAGGAGCCTGTTCCTAGTGCACGTAGGAGAAGAGCTGCCAGAAGGCAGGAGCAGCTAAAGCAAAAAGGACAACTCGGGAGTAAGGCCAAGAGATGATTGGCCCTTTCCATAAGGCTTAAAAGACCAGCAACCTCTCTTGGATTTTTTGTCTGAAAACAACTTGATAAACTTGGTTCTTATCTTGCTCAGCATCCTCTGCTTCTGAACTTTTGTCAAGCGAAGCCTCTGGCAGTTTGCCCAATTATACCAAGGTTGGTGATAAGACTTTATGAAGATTTTGTTTGATTTAGTTTGGTCTATGCTGAGAATGAGTTAATCCTCAACTGTTCTATTATTATTTTTTTAATTTGATTTATATGCCGCCCTTCTCCGGAGAGTCAGGGCGGCTTAAAATGCGTTAAGCAATAATAATAATAAAAGTCTGTTTGTTTTCGAACTATTTGCATCGATTACTACCTACTTGGGCCTGGGTCACAACACTTCCTGTACACAATGCAGGAAGAGCGCCATTCTAAAAACTGCTTATATTCGAAATGCCTGAAATGAAAAAGCTTTAGACTTGACATGCAAAACATGCAGACTCCATCCGGGATGATCACGGACAAGGCTGCTGCGAGAAACACAGCTGCCCATCTTCTAGCAACTCCTAATCTTTCCTGGAAAATCAAAATCAACCTGTTCTGACCTAGGCTTCACCAAAGTACGACACAGACTCCTTGCCCCGAAAAAAAAAAAAAAAAACCCCTTTTCATTTGGCTAATGTGAATTCCTAGCATTCACATCCAGCAAAGTCCCGGCAAACAGTCTTTCAAGGGTGAATTGCAACCACGGACCTTATCGGTCCTTATCGAGAGCTTCTTGACTCAACGCTATACAAAGAAATACTTGGAAAGGAGTCTCAACTCAGGAGGCACAACTCAGATAAGCAAATCTTCACACTATTAAATGAACTAATTGTCTCCTGCAAACACTACTCCCCTTTTGCCCCCCTTTATTCCCTATGGGAGGGGCCATTCAGTGTCCCCTTGTGCCTTTACTCCTGAGTCGACCTCTGCTCCTTAATTGTTCCCTTCTCCTGACATCTCTGCGCATGAGCACATCGGGAAGAGGCTCCAGCTGTTCTTCAGCCCCACTTCTCTTGAACTCCCAAGGTAGCTGATAACTGTCGGATGGTCCTGGCCCCCTCTCTGCCTCCGACGCAGAGACCTCATCAGAGCCTTCCCCAGACTCCAGGACTGGCCCTTGTTCCTCCCCAACCTCCTCACTGCTCTGCGGGCCACAACACAACCTTTCATTCTTGTGGACCCTATATTGCTGGTTTAATAGCGGGCAAGGCCTCGCTGGATCACGATGTAGAGCCATCCAGAGAGCTGCTGACGCTCGGCAGAGTTAAGTATCGAACTGATGGATCAACGGTTTGATTCGGGAGAAATTACCTTTCCGTGTGTCTGTTTTGTTAAAATAAAATAAAAAAAAAATAACGCCAGGTTCTTTTTAAGCAACAACCCGCCCATCCAAATGGATGGTTTTTTTTTAAAAAAAACAAAAAACATTTGAGTCTCCACTCAGAATCTAGAGCAGCTTCTACATCCGTGATTCTATAATCCTTTCCTTCTACATATATTATTCTGCCTCCGGTAATCAGATCGAGGCGGATGTTCTCGTTTGAAGACATTTTCGGCTTATTGTAGGCGCAGGGAAGAAAATGGGTTTGCGATATCTTTTGGAGAAAAGCCAAGCTGCATTTGCTTTATACTCTCCAAAAAAAAGGGGGGGATTTATTTGCAGCCTTAAAAGACTGGAGAGCAAGAATGGTTCACTATGCTGTTATCTCGCTAAGGGAAGTTAATTGGAATCGCTTCCTTTGGAGGTTTCGTTTAATGTTAAGTACGAAGTAAGTAATGTTTGTACAGACTTCTCAATCTTGACCAGGGATCAACATTGGCACCAGATCCCCAAAGTATCTTTAGTAACAGCCTCCAAACTTCTTCTGATCGCAAAGTCAGAAGCAGCAGAAGCCCCTCGATCGTTGCCTTGGTAACAAGCATTTCCTCCCTGCCCTTCAAGGCTCTTCTCCATGCCCTCAAGATCTGGTTCTTGTTTCCAAGTCTGCAACTTACTACTAAATCGAACCGGCTGTGCCATGTTGATGGTGTGGAACCGTGTCGTGTCCCCTCCTCTTCCGCGATTGTGCCTGGAGTCCACATTTTCCTTCCCGTGATAAGTTCGTTGGTCCCCTGTATAGTCTAGGAGAAAGGTAAGCAGGGGAAGCTTCAGGTAAGCAAGGATGAGCAGGTGGATTTCCCCCCCCCTCCATATTTAATCACAATTTAATTTACCGTATTTTTCAGAGTATAAGACACACGTTTTCCCCCCTAAAAGAGGGTGAAAATTTGGGTGAGTCTTATACACCAAATGTAACCCCGCCCACCCACCGGCCCCCACCCTTTGGCCTCTGCCTCCCAGCAATTTGCCTCCTTGCAGCAAACAGCCCGTTTTAGCTTCAGCACAGCCTGATTAGCACAAGCAGCTGATTGTCGGTTAGATCAGCCTCCCGACCATCAGCTGTTTCAGGCTGCAGGGATTGCCATTGCCACGCGCCCCATTTGCTGCAAGGAGGCAAATTGCTGGGAGGCAGAGGCAGATTTTTTTTTCTTGTGCCAAACAGGCTGTGCTGAAAATGAAAATGAAACAGGCTGTTTGCTGCAAGGAGGCAAATTGCTGGGAGGCAGAGGCAGATTTTTTTTCTTTTTTTAAAAAAAATAATATTTATTAAATTTCCAAAGATTTTTTTTAAAAAAATTCTTGTTTTCCTCCCCGAAAAAGGTAGGTGCATTTTATAGTCTGAAAAATACAGTAACCATTAGTTTTTCCCCAGAAAATAGTTTAGAATTATCTATTATTAAAATATTCAAATAGGCCTATGAATTTGTGTTTTGAGTCATGAAAATACATAAAAGGGCCTTGGGAAGTGGACAGAATACAAAGGTTAGATCAATTCAGCTGATCCTTTTGGCTGTTATACCATTGCGAGATTTGCTTAATATCCTTCTTTCTTTGATTAAAAAAATGTGAAATTATTTTTGCCTGTGTTGTTTCTTCTGTACTGGGGGAATTCTTATTATACTTTGGCTTTCGTTAGCAGCATATAATAACGGAGATAAAAGGGAATACATGCAAACTGTTAACTGGATGTTAAAATGATTTTTTTAAATCACTCTGCTGGTGTCAGCAAAATTTTTGGCTCAAAAACCAGTGGGCAAACGCACTTCAAAAGACCGCGGAGGTACGTTGACCCAAATAAAAGAGACAGAATCAGCCGATAGAAATGTATTATTGAGGTATTCCTAAGAGGTTTTGAGATGGGTTTTTGCAATGTTGGATGTCACGTTAATTACTGTGCCCTCTCAGCTTGAGAAATTGTACAGGTGGCCCTCGTCTTACGACAAGTTTGTTTAGTGACCGTTCAAATTACGACGGTACTGAAAAAAGGGATTTATGACCGCTGTCACCCGACTTTTACAGCATCCCCGTGGTTACCTGGCTCAAAATTCAGATAATGGCCACAGTGCCACGGTCGCAGTGTCCGGGGGGGGGGGGTTGTCAGGCGATCCCCTTTTGCAGCCTTTTGATAAGCAAAGTCACCGGGGAAGTCACCTGGGTTCACTTAACAACTGTGTTACTAACTTCACAACGGCAGGGATTTGCTTAACGGCTGTGGCGAGGAAAGTCATAAAATGGGGCAAAACCCACTTAAGAACTGCCTCGGTTAGCAACAGAAAGTTTGGCCTCAATTGTGGTCGTAAGTCGATGTACTAGTTAGGTATCATCATTCGATCATCTCCGATGGGGCAGAGAACCGTGGTAGGTACCTAAGTGAGATAGCTGGAAGATACAACGATGTTTGTAGGAAGTTTAGCCCTAGATTAAATAACAATCCACCCCTAAAAAAATATAATCTTGCAAAGTTTAGCTCAGGGGCAGCCAACTAAAACTGCTCAGCTGGGATGGAGAACTGAAACACCGGAAACGAAAGCATCTTCTAAAGGATGAGGAATAGAGTCCAATGCACGACTGTAAAGCCGCTAACTCGTAGGATTACCTCCCCTCAAAAAATGGGAAGCATTCAAGGAAGGGGATGTTTGGAAACTACCAGTGGGTTGTCTTATTTTCTGCAAAACAAGAACAACTTCTCATTTCCACCATCAGTTGCAGAAATGAGGAAATGGGACTGTGTTTCCAGCAGTCCACGGAGAAGCTGAACAAAGCTGGAGTTGTTGTTGTTGTTTTTTTAAATTTGATTTATATGCCGCCCTTCTCCGGAGACTCAGGGCGGCTTACAGTGCGTTAAGCAATAGCCTTCATCCTTTTGTATATTTATACAAAGTCAGCTTATTGCCCCCACAAACTGGGTCCTCATTTCACCTACCTTAGAAAGGATGGAAGGCTGAGTCAACCTTGAGCCTTGGAGAGATTCGAACCAGCAGTAAATTGCAGGCAGCTGTGTTAATAACAGGGTGCTTAGACCACTGTATTATCAAGGCTCTGTACTATCAAGAGTTCTGTACTATCAAGAGTTAAATTTCTCAGAATAACAAAAGAGTTGGAAGGGATCTTGGAGGTCTTCTAGTCCAACCCCCTGCTCAGGCAGGAAACCCTGTACCATTTTAGACAAATGGTTGTGCAATCTCTTCTTAAAAACCTCCGGTACTGGAGCATTCGCAACTTCTGGAGGCAAGTGGTTCCACTGGTTAATTGTTCTAACTGTCAGGAAATTTTCTCCTTAGTTCTAAGTTGCTTCTCTCCTTGATTAGTTTCCACCCATTGCTTCTTGTCCTGCCTTCAGGGGCTTTGGAGAATAGCTTGACTCCCTCTTCTTTGGGGCAGCCCCTGAGATATCAGAAGACTGCTATCATGTCTCCCCTAGTCCTCCTTTTCATTAAACTAAGCATACCCAGTTCCTGCAACCGTTCTTCATGTTTTATTTAGCCCGCAATCTCCTAATCATCTTAGTTGCTCTTGTCTGCACTCTTGCTAGAATCTCAACATATAACTAACTTTCTAGACAAGCAAACTGTGAGAGCAGCCCTCATGTCAACCATTAGCTACAAATATTCTTTTATTAATAGGTTGCATGTGCTTCAAACTAGCACAGGCTCCAGAGGAAAACAAATTTAAGACCTGTAGCTGGGTTCCTGATAGGAACAGACAACAACAACAAAATAAATAAATCCCAAAGTGAGAATGTTTTGAGGTTGGGACATTCTCCTCGGAGGCTGAAACAACTGCTTCAAGTTGATGCAGGTTCTCTCAATTAAATTGGAAGGCCTTCAAAGAGTCGGAATACCCCCAAGCTCAAAAGCAAACTGTTTTAAATATCAAAATATTTCAGATTCCAAACATTTTTATTTATTTATTTTTTTGCACAGCCTTAGATCACATTTCATGTTGAGCTGTTATGATGTGGTTTGCAGTCCTCTGTTGATCTAACGTTTTGGGAAAACTCAGCCAACTCTGGTTTAGTCAAAATGACCATGTTAAAAACTTATGGTCGGCAATGATGGGTAGGTAGGTAGGTAGGTAGGTAGGTAGGTAAGAAGGAAGGAACGAAGGAAGGAAGGAAGGAAGGAAGGAAGGAAGGAAGGAAGGAAGGAAGGTAGGAAGGAAGGAAGGAAGGAAGGAAGGAAGGAAGGAAGGAAGGAAGGAAGGAAGGAAGGAAAATAATAATGAGACAATTTTTCAGGAAGATCTGAAAAATATCAATCTTAAATGGAAGGATGTGGAGACTGTAGTTGTAGTCTGAGATCTGTTGTGTACGTTTGTAGTCCAATGTGCTTGGCATAGGATGGAATAAGAATAAGAATAAGAATAAGAATGAGAATGAGAATGAGAATGAGAAGGAGGAGGAGGAGGAGGAGGAGGAGGAGGAGGAGGAGGAGGAGGAGGAGGAGGAGGAGGAGGAGGACTTTTAAATAACCCAGGACAATGAATAAAATATATCTCTTCCTGACAGCCACTTCTGTTTCTTCTGAACAAGAAGCTGCAAGAGAGAAAAATGTCTTTTCTTAGCAGAATCGTTTCTTTGCGGGAAGTTCTAAACGAGAGCTCCTGGAGTGCAGGTGGGCGCACGGCAGCTCCACGTGCTGTTTGCCAAGTATGCACAAAAGAGAACCCATCGCTCCCAACCACCGAAAAAGCTTGAGAAACGCCTCAAAACATCACACGCACCCAGAGTAGCAATCCCCAGCCTCGAGGCTTTTGAAGAAGCTTGGGTGTTCTTGCTCGAACCAACCAAGCGATTCATTCCTCCGAAGCAGCTGAGCCTTTATTCCGTGTGACCGAGGCTTCCAGGCCTGCCTGTTGCATAAATCCTGCAAGCAATGCCAAGCATGCGAGCCTCCTGCTTTCAGAGCAGGAGATCAAAGATCTGGAAATCACTGGGGTTAGGGGCCTTGTGGGGAGGGGGAAACGGAAAGGAGAGTTGGAGGCTGCAAACTCTCTTAACTGCAGCTAGAATTGTATTTGCACAACGTTGGAAAAAGTGAAGAGATTCCTACTGAAGAGGTGGTGATTAGGAAAATATTAAGAACGTGCAGAAATGAACAGGTTAACATTAGCAATCGAAGAGAAGGAACGAACTGAATATTATATGTTATGGGAAGTATTTTATCAATGGTTAGTGAGTAAAAAGGGGAACTGGAAATAAAAGAAGATTAAAGAAGAAAAGAAAACACGTTGAGATACAGGTAGAAATAAAATGATAATTGTTAGCATTAGGATGAGGATAATTACGTGTAATGTTATTATTATTGTATATTCACTAGAAGACATGTTAAGAGGAAAAATGAATACTTACAATGTTTAACTGTTTAAGAAGATAAAGGTTCCCCTTACACATATGTGCTAGTTGTTCCTGACTCTAGGGGCGGTGCTCATCTCCGTTTCAAAGCCGAAGAACCAGCACTGTCCAAAAATGTCTCCGTGGTCATGTGGCCAGCATGACTCAACGCCAAAGGCGCACGGAACGCCGTTCCCTTCCCACCAAAGGTGGTCCCTATTTTTCTACTTGCATTTTTTTACGTGGTTTTGAACTGCTAGGTTGGCAGAAGCTGGGACAAGTAACGGGAGCTCACCCCGTTACGCGGCGCTAGGGATTCAAACCGCCGAACTGCCGACCTTTCGATCGACAAGCTCAGCGTCTTAGTCACTGAGCCACCACGTCCCTGTTTAACTGTTTAATATATTATAATTTTAAGATTAGAGAATTATACTGTAATATACTGTTATACTGATGTTGTAAATGTTGAAGGTTGGCACATGGAGATATTTGAACCCAGACAAGGGTTTAAGGAAAGATGGAATGTTTGTATTTTGAAAAAAAATAAATACAAAATTATTTTTAAAAAGGAAAGGAGAGTTGGAGGCAAAGGCAAGAATTTTCTTCTGGCCCCAAAGGCTTTGTAGCTCTGAGGCTTTGATTTAATTTGGTTCTCGAGATACCGTAAAGGGAATTTGAGGCTCAACTGTAAGAAAAGTTACGCAACGAAGAAAAGAGAGATGCTGGGAGCAGAGAGCAAAATGAGGGCTGGAGATTGAAACTGTCGGAAGGAGCCCTCGAAGGTTGTGTAAAAACACCGAGTAGATTAGATTCTTTGGCAGCACAGGAGCAAAAAAGCAGCTGTATTAAAAACCAACCGAAGATCTCGCTCAGCTGAGAAAATGCAGCAAATTGGATCTCCATCAGATGCTAAAGGGGTTCAAAGAAGAACAACTTCATCCATCTGCAAGAGAAGGGACTGCAGGCTACGAAATCTTGTAGGGTTGCTACAGAGGGTCTCCCCCTTCGGGGTCCTTTTGTGTGGGTCAGAGGGGGTCAGAAATTCCGACTAGGGTCTGCTTCAGCCTCCTGGTGTGGGGCTTTGGGCGAAGGCTGGAGGGAAACGCCGCTGGTGGCAAAGAGCCGGAGGGCCTTGTTCCAGTGGGACTGCATCATGGCCTGGAACTGGCTGACCATCTCAGCCCACTGAGCCTCCAGGCGCTGGTAGCTGGCCTTGCACTCCCGCAGGTCTTCCCTCTGCTTGGAAAGCCTATGCTCCTAGTCCTCAGTGAGGTACTTCTGCTGAGCCTCCTTCTCAGCCAGATCCAATTTGAACTGAGCTGTTTTGCCAACTCTTTCTCATGGTGGCTGCTTAGCTCCAGCAACTGCTTCCTGTTGGGGCCCTAAGGAGCCTGTGGGGGGGGGGAGGCGAGGAGTGGCTGGGAGGGGAGGGGTGAGTAGAGGCCAGCGAGGTGCCCCTCGATGTGAGTGGCCATGCCCATTCAGTCACATGACCACCTAGCCACGCCCACCCAGCTGGTCATTAGGCAGATCGTATTAGTGGTCCACGGGATTTAAAATTATGAATTTAGTGGTCCCTGAGGTCTGAAAGATTGAGGACCCCTGTTCCATGCAATACGAGTCACTTCCTGCTAGGGCCGCACATATGCCGTTCTACTTTTGTTGAAAATCAAGGGGGGGAAAAAATCCCTTTCACTGAAATCAAGAGGGAAATCAGGCCCCCAAAACTGATTTCGCTAGCTGCACGAAGACAAAACCGACAGCGAGCCCAAGAATCCAAGTTGGCAAACTTAAGCCAATGATTAAAAAGAAGGGGTTTTTTTGTTTTTTTTTTAAAAAGAGATGCCTCTTATGTAATCTTATTGGGCCACTCCGATTGTATGAAACTTCGTTCTGCAGGCTTCCTCTCTCTGCCAATGTCACTCAACATTCTGGTTTTTCAGGTTCAGTCAAAGGCAATTTATTAAAATAATAATAATAACCCAACTGCACTTATATGAAGTGGAGCTTGGATTCATCTCCGTGGTTTTTAACGCTGGATTTGAGAGGGGTGGGCAAGAGTTTGCTGCTGAAGACCACACTTAAAATCAGGGACCCACTGGAAACGGAATTTTGTTTTTCTGAGTTGTGTGGAGTTTCTTGGCTTGCAAAGAACCATTAATCTTGTTTTGGAGCTTATGTAAACTTTTCACATTTCCTGCCTCTGAAAGGCAGAAAACACAAGCAGTGGTCAGCCATTTGGAGCAGAAGAGATTCTGCGGATATTATTCGGCCTTGGGGAGGCAGGAGACTTTCCTTGTTTAAAAACAAAAACAAAAACAAGAATACGACTATAAGAGTTAAACTTGATTAAAATTGGGGGGAAACGGGGAGGAAGAGCTGCTTGAAATGGATAATAAACTTGTCCATAGTTGTTTCTCAAGTACATCAAGAAAATGGCTATGGATTAAGAGGGGTGTGCGGTATTTGAACTCACAACAGGTAGGAGTGGACATGTGGGCTCATTCTGTCCTCACTTCCTTATTCAAGCTGTGGTACATATACAGTAGTGGCCAAAATTGTGGAAACCTTTTGGGAAAAGTGTGTTTTCTAAAACTAGCTAATAACACCACTTTTTTTTTTTTTTGGAGTAGTACCATAAAATTATATATCAATGGAAAGATAATTTAATCAAAAATGTAATGCAATAACTTTTACGAAGGATTTGCTATTAGAATAGCAGTTAACAGTATAAAGAAGAAAAGTGAAACACGTAGAAAAAACAAGATATACAAAACTGATCACAATAGAAAAAATGAGATATACAAAAATGATCACCATGTCAGTTAATACTTCGTTGGGTAACCTTTAGCATGAATGATGGCCTTACAACGTCTTCCCATGGAGTGAACCAAGTCTTTTAGTTCTGCAGCTGCTATAATGTGAAACCAAGATTGAAGGATGGCTTCTATTAACTGGGTTTTATTGCTGGGTGGCTTCTGACTAACCAGTTTCTTTAGTCGGCTCCATAGATTTTCAATTGGGTGAAGGTCTGGGCTATTCCCAGGCCATTCCAGCAGTGGAATTGGATTATCTTGAAACTCCCCCAAAAAAGTGGTGTTATTAGCCATCAAACCTCAAAAATACACCTTTCCTAAAAGGTTTCCACAATTTTGGCCACTGCTGTACATGTATATATGTAAAAACTTAGAAGGAAACTTTGAAACAAGAAAATAAAAGCTAACCCCAACTATCCTAAAGTAAGCAAGAAACACAGAAATACTTTTCAGCTGCACAACTACTGCATTTCAAATGCTTTTCAGGAGTAGACAAACAGCTTACGTGGAGGACACTTTTGTGATATCTGAATCCTACACTCCCTGGGCTGCAAACTAAGTTTAACACAAAGCTTCTGGATAAGATGGGAGAAAAGGGAGACAGACGATATAATTATATTTCCTTCCTAGTTTTTGCTGACAAAAATGTCCTGGAGCCTAGCAGGGACAAGGAACCAAAACAACTCCATGCATAGGATAAAAGAACTTTATTGTTGATCATCTATTGACAAGAACCTCCCCAGACTGACTGCATTCTCCTGGGTAGAGGTAGTTTATTTATTTATTTATTTTATTAAATTTTTATACCGCCCTTCTCCTGCTGGACTCAGGGCGGTGCACAGCCTAGAATAAAAAACTGCATCTAAGCACCCCATAAGCCAGATCGAAGCACCCCGCAGGCCAGGTCTAAGCACCCCACGGGCCAAATCTTAGCACCACATGGGCCAGATCTTAGCACTCTGCAGGCCAGATCCAGCTCCTGGGCCTTGAGTTTGACACCCCTGGTATAAAGTCTCCTGCCTTGTGCAGGGGTTGGGCTAGAAAACCTCTAAGGCCCCTCCCAGCCCTAGGATTCTATGCTTTACGTTCTGTGTTCTTTGGAGGGGGTGGGGGGAACTTACTTGGGCAGCCAACTTCATCGCTTTCATCCTCACAGGTGGGCCACCCATCGCACTGCCACTTGGAGGGGATGCACTGGACTGAACCGCTGCGGCAAGTGAATTGCCCGGGGATGCAACGCAGCTCTGCAAAAGACGAGGGAGAAGGTTGCTCACGCTTCCGAACCCAAAAAATACCAGCCACAACAAAAAACCATCTTGGCTTGAGAGCGAGCGCGCCCAAATTTAAACCTCTTCTCCTGGTTGGGATGAGCGGTGAGAGAGAAGCACGCCAAATCTTTGTATTACTGGAGAAAGTTTGGATTAGGTTTCTTCCTCTCCCACTTCCCCCTCCTCACCCCCGGGGCAGTGGCAAATGAGAGCTGGCTCTTCTGAACCCCGTTAAGCAAGGATCGAGGAAAGTTCTAATTGGCTTTGGCTCCAACATCCAAAACATCCCAGATTCGAATCTGGTTCGAATTCGACGAGAGCTAAATAGCTTGAAATAGATCGATATTAGTCTCCCTTTTTTTCTCTGTCGGTAAAATATAAATTTAACACAAGCAGAAAGCTAGCTCAAGTCAACTGGAAGGAATTTTTTAAAAATAGGCCTACCCTGTTTAACACAATTACTCAAAAGGAACACTCAGGTTTGCATAGTGACAGCTAAGAACTCAAGACGACGGGAGAGATGATTTCCTGGGTTACACCACAATCAAAACAGCACCGATCGGTGTGTTTGTGCACTCCTCCCTTTCCAAAAATCATTACAACGGCACCGCACAAATCGAGCACAGGGCAAGGTCAAAATAATCACATCTGTCCAGAGTGGAAACAAGGAAGATCCGGTTTCTCTCTTAAATAATGTCACGGGGGACAAATGGCAGGAAGGGCATACGTGTTATGAGACAGGTAGCATGACTCCTTTCAGGCTTTTAGGTCATTCAAGCCACAGCATCTTCTTAGGAGGTAATTACAAGCATTTTTTATTTAATTCTTATTATCTTCACATCAAAAAAAAAAAAAAAAATGGTGTGAGTTGGTCAAGAAAGTAACTGGTCTGAAGTTGACTCCCTACCTTCTCAAGTGCTTTGTGGTTGAGTAGAGACTCGTGACACCTTAATTAATACATTATCCTGGCCTTTTAATATACCCAGCTAAGCCATTACATGGACTGCTTTGTTTTGGGTAAGGTGTCAACACTCTGATCTGCTCCAAATTCCTTCTTGGGTGCTCACTAGATTTCCTGTCCTTTGTGACTTCAGGGGGAAAAAAAATATATTATTTTAATGATTTAAAAAAATAAAGGGGAAGTTGGCTAAATAATGCTAGCGTCATTATTTACTTCCAACAAGGCCTTTGGGCCTCGTAGAGATCTTATCAGGGGTGTAGACAACTTCCTGGAAGGAAATGTCACCATCGGTGAATGGATGCTTTCTAAGATATGCCCAGGCAGTCCTTTTATGAATAGATGCGTCACCAAAGCAGCACCCCCAGATGTTCTTTGGGGTGCTGCCACAGAGAGGAGGAAGGGGGTCAAGCTATTTTCCAAAGCACCCGAAAGCCAGACAAGGAACAATGGATGGAAACTGATCAAGGAGAGATTCAACCTAGAAATAAGAAGAATTGACAACTCAAGAAGCCGGATTCGCTTAACAACCGTGTGACTGTTTTAAACAACTGTAGGGAGTCCCTTAACCAACGTGGTTCACAACACATTTCTCATTTAGCAACATAAAATTTGGGTTCAATTGTGGTCATAAGCTGAGGACTTCCTGCACACTAAAACATGTAGAAAGTAGCCTGTGATATTAACAATTATCTTTGCAATAAAAATAAAGCAATATCGGGCTCCGATAGGATATTACTGTTTTTATCTCAAAGCTAATTGTGAGCGTACAGCCCCCTATTCCTATGCGTGTCTAGAGGGAGGTACCCAGTTCACTTCCACCTCAAAAAGAAAAGCAAGTTCCAGATTGCAGCTATCAACATCCTAAATCAGAACTGCCCATTGCATTCGGCTTTCTTTCAATCCCGTTGCCGAATCTATCAGAATGTAAGACTATCTCTAATAAGAATAACTGCCAGGTGTTTACAGATACAGATAATATCGAAGCTAATATTACCGGATAAAGCCGACCCTGTTGTATTCCTTTCTCACTTGTTTATTCTTCTATTCTTTAAGACCCCCGTGACTGACCTAAACCAATTCAAATCCCCAAGAGGTGAGCGCTCAAAATAGACATTTTTTTCCGAAATGCTTAAGTAACACATTGATAAAAGCTTGAGATTTGAAGACAAACTACCCCACAACCTTGTTAGATATTATCTCTTAAAAGGTAAATACAAGAAAACATCACCCTTAAACTTGAGCATTTAGTTTAGTTTATAGTTGAGTTGTCATTGCACCTCGTACAACGAAATTAAATGCCATCTTCAGTGTACATTATAACTATAAAAATAAAACAAAACACACATCCTTCACATTCTCTACAACTGAATTGAAAACCCCTGATATTGCATTAATATTGCACTATACAGTAGAATTCAATATAGTTACTGCTCTGGGGTAGGAGCTGTTTTTCAGCCTATTTGTCCTTGGGTTGTTGTTTTTTTTTTATCCTGTACCGTCTGCCAGATGGTAATAGTTCAAAAAAAAAAGGGTGCCCATGATGAGATGGATCTTTAAGGACGTTTTGAACTTTCTGAAGGCAGCGGGAGCTATAAAGCTCTTCCAAAGAGGGGAGAGGGAAACCAATGATCCTCTGGGCAATGATGTTGACCCTCTGGAGCGCTGTCCTATCTGCCACTGTGCCATTGGCAAACCACACACAGTTAAAATACTCTCTATGGTGCAGCGGTAGAAGGTCACCAGCAGTTTTTCATTCAGTTGTTGTTTCCTGAGAAGTCTTCAGGTAGTGTAATCTCTGCTGGGGCCCTTTTGACCAGTGCTGCAATGTGAGCGTCCCAGGTCAAGTCCTCTTTTTATGACATAATAAGAAAGCTTGATTCACACTTCAGGATCAGCCCAAATATGAAAACAAAAGCTAGTATGATTTGCAAATCATGGTTAGGTAAAGGTAAAGGTTCCCGTCGCATATATATGCTCGTTGTTCCCGACTCTAGGGGGCGGTGCTCATCTCCGTTTCAAAGCCGAGGAGCCAGCGCTTCCGAAGACGTCTCCGTGGTCATGTGGCCGGCATGACTCAACTCCAAAGGCGCATGGAATGCTGTTACCTTCCCACCAAAGGTGGTCCCTATTTTTCTACTTGCATTTTTTACCTGCTTTCGAACTGCTAGGTTGGCAGAAGCTGGGACAAGTCACGGGAGCTCACCCCAATTACGCGGCACTAGGGATTCAAACCGCCAAACTGCCAACCTTTCAATTGACAAGCCCAGCGTCTTAGCCACTGAGCCACCGTGTCCCTTAAATCATGGTTAACTCATTATATTTATGTGTTAAATTAATTTATGAATGTATTTGTTCCATCTATTTATGCTTTTATTAAATTTATAGGCTGCTCATCACACCGTGGAAGTGACTCTGGATGGCTCACAACCTGTTTATAGAATACAAAAACAACTGAAATGAGTAAGAATTAAATAAGAGGCATTACATTTGTCAACAACTGCAGCTTTGCCTATAAGCCAGGCCCGAAGTCGCTCATCTACGAAGCAAAGAGATTTATTTTACGTTCTTGCACGTCTTGGATAATGCAAAAAATATTTTGCGACTGAATTATGACCTCTACAAATTGTTGGAACTATATACAGGGAGTTTTTGACTTACGACCGCAATGGAGCCCAACATTTCTGCTGCTCAGCAAGACGGTTGATAAGTGAGTCTCGGCCCATTTTGCCAACTCTCTTGGCACGGCTGTGGAGTTGAGTCACTGCAGTCGTTAAGTTAGTAACGTGGTTGTTAAGTGAATTTGGCTTCTCCACTGACTTGGCTCGTCAGAAGGTCGTAAAAGGGATCACATAACCCCGGGGACACCGCAACCATCCTAAATATGAGTCAGTTATCAAACGTCTGAATTTTGATCACATGACCTTGGGGGGGCTGTTACAATAGTCGATAAGTATGAAAAATGGCCCCAAGTTCTCTTTGTCAGTGCCGTTATAACTTTGAACGGTCACTAAATGAGCTGTTGTGAGTCGAAGGCTACCTGCCTACGTTTACTCCCTTTGAGTGCCTGGAATAATACAGGATGAATTTTGTGTTTTTTTTTTTTTTTTTTACCCCAAAGCCCTTCCTGGTTCGGAGAACCGGTAGCAAAAATCCCTGCCCCCCCCCCCCCATTGCCCAGCTGAGCCGCACACTCATAAGAGGCTTTTTTTATTATTATTTTTAAAAGCATTTTTTTCTACAACCTCTTTGGCCGAAAAAATGCTTTTAAAAGTAAAAAAAAAAAAAAAAAGCCTCTGATGATCGCGCGGCTCAGCTGGGATCATCAGAGGCTTTTAAAAGCATTTTTTCTACAACCTCTTCAGCCGAAAAGGTTGTAGAAAAAATGGTTTTAAAAGTAAAAAAAAAAAAAAAAAGTTGGCCACGCCCAGTCAATCATATTAAACCCCCCCCACCAAGCCACGCCCACAGAACCGGTAGTAACGAATTTTACATTTCACCACTGTGTCCAACCCATCATGACCCATCAGGAGCTTTGGTAGTACAGTGGTTTAATGCACCCTGTTATTAACACAGCTGCCTGCAATTTCTACAGGTTCGAATCTTACCAGGCTCAAGGTTGACTCAGCCTTCCATCCTTTCTAAGGTAGGTGAAATGAGGACCCAGTTTGTGGGGGCAATAAGCTGACTTTGTATAAATATACAAAAGTATGAAGGCTATTGCTTAACGCATTGTAAGCCGCCCTAAGTCTCCGGAGAAGGGCGGCATATAAATCAAATTAAAATAAATAAAAAAAATGACCCCCTGGACAACGTTCCTCCAGGCCTTCCTGTCCTCTACCATCCTCTGGAGTCCATTTAAGCTCAGGCCGACTGTCTCAATGACTCCATCCAGCCACCTCGTTCTCTGCCATCCCCTTCTTCTTCTTTTGCCCTCCATCGTTCCCAGCATTAGGCTCTTCTCCAAGGAGTCCTTCCTTCTCATTAGGTGGCCAAAGGATTTGAGTTTCCTCTTCAG